TGGGAACTCACTCCCAGAATCGAAACTTAACGTCTGCCATAATGCTTAGAAACTATGCTAACATGCTCTATAGAGAAAGCTGATAATGGCGAAAAAAATATAAATATAGCGGCGAGACAGACAGTCTTTGTCTTGGCTGCTGCGTCCGCTGGCCGACGGGGCAGCCGCTGGTCGCAGCAGCCTGAGAAACAAGACCAGCCTGTCGCAGCAATGTCTCGCAGCTATATTGCAAAATTGCTGGCCGCCACCGCACATCAGCAGAGACATAAGGCCTGCCTATTGGCGGCGCGGAGGACGAGGAGCCCGGGTCGGCTCTAGCTGGGGCGGACTGGAAGTGTCTGTGCTCTCACTGTTTGCTTATGGACACAGACATAGAGTCTGTTTTCTGCCAGGAATTCCAAGATACCAATTCCTTCTGGAAAAAACCTCAGAATCAGTTGAGGAAACGGCCTTATGTGTTGAAGTAAATTTGTCTGTAACCTGACCTTAGTGGGAGTGGCTTGCAGTGCTGTGCATTGTGGGATTTGGTGTCTTTCATCCACATGAGCCAAAAAGACACTTTCTGCCTTTTCTCAGCCAAGTCACCAACTTCCTAATTTATTTCACATTTCTACTACATATATGACCCAATGTCAATACAGCTTCATGTTCAATGGGTGAAGTATCCCTTTAAATATCAAATACTTCATGTCATTGTGGACAATCTTTTTTTTGTTTTCTTTCAGCTGTAATCATATGAGGGCTGAAACTCCAAACAAGAAACACCATCATGTTCAAGGTTTATTTAAAAAAACAAAAACAAGTTGTCTCCTCATTCATTTTGTTTTCAAAACAAAACTTAAGAGTACCACAAGGAAATGATTCGTTTTCACACGCACGACTTCACATCAGTGACAAAGATGATTGAACAACAGAAGATTTGAGAATGGATATGTTTAAGAAAGCTCTTCTTTATAGAACACAAGAACATGTCAATCATTTCTGACACAGCTGACTAAAACCTACTGTATCTGATTTGGAGAAGAAAAAAAATACATGTATATCATAATGCTGTCTTCATATGTCTGCTTGAGTTGGACTACATCACAATTTTCTATGTGGAAAGGACAATAACTGTTAAGTTTGTACTACAGACACTCTTTACTCATCATACAGCAATTCTGTCTGATGCAGGACATCTCTGCACCTCTTGATTATTTGACATTATTAAAAAATAAATAAATCTTTTCATCATACAGATGACAGTAGTATTACATCCATAACACAGCCACCTTCACCCTCAGGCCTTAATGTGCAAACTGCAAGAGTTTAAAAAGGTAGCACTTTATGCAAGGACCATGTGACACAAAACAACATAGTTTTTGTTTTTTAAAGGAGCACTTGATGAAAAGTGCAGCAGATGTGACATTATTTTAAATGAAGAATAAGATAAGTGTTTACATCCTCCCCAGGCCAACAGTGGAGTTACAACAATCAATAAATACATTTGGGGGAGTTAAATCATAAAAAAAAGAAATATGTGGGCCTTTATCTGAAGGAATATATTTGGTACTGAATGACGGTTCTATTTCTATCTGGGACTGTCCTTGTTTGAAAGTTTTACTCTTTCAAGGTAAAATACTGAGCCAGGACATAAATGTAATGTTAAGATGCATATTTCTGTTCCACAAACATTTGTTCTTGTCACAGCTTCCTCACAATAAAAACAAGATGTTTGGGATGATAGGGGACAGAAACGAGGCATTTTCACACGATTAATGTTACAGTTAGTGCTTAGAGTTCAAGCAGATAGATCTCTGCTTTAGCATTTAAACATAGTGAGTGCATGTTTTATACACTACCAAGTTTTTTTTTCTCCTTTTGTTAAGACACCGTGTCAACATACTGTAAGTACAGTCCTACAAACTTCTGCCGCAGTCTCTTTGCAATATGGTGTTTCACTTTATAAAATAGCCAATAGATCAAACTGATTTTTTTTTTCATTTAAATAAACCACATAAGACCTCCACACAGACCAAAGTGCACCAGTAAAGAGATGTAGATTTCATATTATTCATTTCCAAGTGGGTATGAAAGGCAGATAGCTTTTTTTTTTTCTCAGTAGAACAGAGAGCAAGTCCAAGTCCACACAGATGCACAACAAACACCCACACAGACAAACAAAAGCCAGAGGAATGCATCATTAAAACTTTGTTCCAAAAAGAATAATAATTAGAACAATGACTATGACAAAGAGAATCAAAATGACCAGCATCTTTCTGTTTTTCTTCTGATACTGTTCCGCCTGTAAAGGAACCAAAAAAAAAGGTTATTTACTGCATTTGACTTGCTCTCAATTTCATGCACAAAACATTAAGTGTCTAATTAACTTGGATAGTAATTCTTTGATAACTAAGCATTTGTGGATCCTGTTTCTTGTCTTGTATGGGATCATAATTGTGTGTATTCAGCATGCTCAAAGTCACCTAGAAATTACACCACACATTTAATAATAATAATAAACAATCGGAACTGGAAATTGATTTTACTAAAAAGGTCCCCGTCACTGATTCAAAAAAGTCCAAATCTGAATGTGAACATGAGCAATGTGTGTTTACCTTTTGTAACTGTTTAAGTCCATCTTCTGTTTTAACACAAGCCTGCTCCACATTGAAGTCAATTCTGTCAAGAACGGTGCCCTTGATGAGAAAAAGAAGAAAGTTCAGTAAGCAGATAAAGCTTTAATATGTAGATTTTAAACAACAGTAACATTAACATTTGTATGCAGCAGTTTGCTGAAGTGTGACTCGTGACAATCTTAGGCTTTTGAGACTTAAATTGTTCTTATTTGTGAAATGAACGAGTCAGAAATTGGGGATATGGAGACAAGTGGACTCTTGTAGGAGGAGGATAATTGGAGTCATACAATGATTAGGAATCTATTATTTAATTCAGTGTGTGAGCAGGTCAGGGCAGCTTTAGATACCTGCTCCACCACCATGGTGGCCAAGTCTCGGAAAATCTCATTCAGATCCGAGATAGACTGCACTATTTGTCGGATCTCCTTCTCTCTTTCTTCAACCATAACCGAGTTCTCCTCGACCAGCATCAGCTGATCATCTGTGAAGCCCTGAAGGGAAGAAATAAAAAGTAGTTACTTTATACTCACACAAGTATTACTCTAAATGCTAAACTAAATGCTAAAACAGACCTAATTTAGCAGACGCTGCTCAAATACTTTTTGCTGTTGATGAATTAAAAAACAGTCAAAGTGGATACATTAACCCTAACACAATCATAAAGACTCCAAGATATTTTTGACATCCTGTGTTGCTCTTAGAAAACCTAAGCACTGAAACCATTTGTAGAGTTTCTTGCACATACTATTTCAGTGGTAAAGTTTGAAATGAGCATCATGTTTACCACTATTTAAACCACAGTTATATATCCTAAAATGCTCTTACTACACATGCTGAATTTTTTATGGAAACAATCAGATACCTTGTCATATATAGCTAAATCTTCATCTTCTTCCATAAGGGGCCCAGAGTCAAAAAAGTGCTTTGATCTCTCTTCACGATTCTTCATACCTGGAATGTAAACATAATTCATGCTTAGATAACATGAAAAAACTGGAATAGAAGAGCGTTGTGAGCTACTATCTTGATGGTACAAACATGAGAATCAAAAGAAGTGACTTTTTAGGAGGTACCACTTTACTGTAGTTCTTACGTTTTAGGTAACCGGACTGTGTGTATCTGAAATTAGTGGACAGCTCCTGCAGACTTTGGGCTAGAGATGAGACCACGTTTCTCAAAAGCCTCTCCTCCTGCTCGGTGCAGTGACCACAACGAGACTGCAGACCCGTCACAGCTCTCTGGCATCGATGAAACATCTGCGAGAAAGAAAAAAACAAAATGACATCATCAAGCAGAGACAAACCAAACGTTTCATTTCAAACTCTTCAACATGAAATATAGAGAGGTCCATAGATAGACAATCAGAGGATGAGAAAACAGATACTGTATAATGACATTTGGAATCTTTGCTCAAGCAGAAACATCTTTCTACACACTGTTTATTGTTCTGTCTGTACACTGACAAATAACTGTACCTGTGTGATCTCCTGAGTAGTTATTTCTATTGCATGCTCCTCTTCACTACTGTCATCAAGCGTAGGACGATTCATGTGCTTGTCATGAAGTATCGCCAGCTCCTTCATCTTCTGCCGAACCCGTGTGATTTCATATTGGATCTGGAGGGAAATATTGGCAATCAGAAGCTTCATGACATGACTGTGTACAGATCTTACCAGGGTCATATAAAAAAAATGGTACTAGTTAAAGAGTAGAGGAATTCAAATTGATACCCTTCTAAGGTTTCAGTCTGGTAAGCAGGAATAATACAAAACTGTATTCAAAGTGTTTGTTACCTCATCCACCCCCTCTATCCATTTTGGGGGCAGTTTCTTGGTGACTCCAATGGCAGCTTCAGGATCCAGACTGATCCCTGACACCAGGGCCATCCGATCATCAGCCAACTGAAAAACAAACGATTCTATTAAAACATTTTAAATGACGCTTTAATATGATGTTGAAAATATTGAATGCATCCCAAGTAACTGTACATCAAAAGGAAAGCGACAGTACCTCATCAAGCTCCTAATATGATTGGCAGATAGCAGAGTGGTCCCATCCAACAGAGAACAAAGAAAAGAAGAGAGAGACAAAAGTAGCAGGAAGTGAGCCCCAGAAAACCAGCAACTGATACCAACATAAAAGTGCTTGTGAATCCAGTCCCACCAATGATTACGGATTTTGAAGTGATAGTGGATATAAAATAAAGTATTGTTAAAAAAAACAAAAAACATTCTCAGTTCATTTATCATTGTCCTATATTCACATTTGTACCTACCTACAACCTAATAATACTCATAAGATGTAAGAAGCCGTTAGAGTAAAGAGAGAGAGTAGATATAGTTGAGTCTCATGATCACCTATGACGTATAAGTTTAACAAAAGGAAATGAGGGCGTTCAGAAAATGTAAAGACAATGAAGTTGTCATGTCAGAGAATATTCAATATTCATCTATAATGTTTTTTTTTTAATCTGTCAATAATCTTTATGTTGTATCTGTATCCTGATTAGCACACAAATTATTTTAAACCTGAGTGTAGCAGCTTAAGTAAGCGGAATATTTTTCCTTCAAGTGGCAAACAAAATATATCTTTTTCATCCATTTTCTAACACTGCAGGTATATTACAGCTTGGTCATGTGTTTTTCATAGTGATTGCTCTGCTGTTGACTTAAATCAGAGTGATATCCTACGCTACAAAAAAACACGTTCATTATTTTAGCCTTCATTTTTTAGCTTGACTGCTCTGAAAATACTCCTTGAATTCAAATTCATACATCAATTTTCAACCAATAAGTGAACCAATTTCTTCTCAGGGATATTGGTGGAATGTGCACAGATGTTTACATCAGCAGTGAATCACAGCACTGATCGAGAAAGCTTGACACAAAGACAACAGTAACAAATATTCTCTGAACACAAACTGTGCAATACAGGTAAGACACTAAGACATCAATCATTTTGCATGTAACATTTTATAGTTATATTTAAACTGTATGACACACAATATGGTTTGTACTTGGAACGCTGTAAGAAATGTCCTGAAGGTGCTTTTTAGAATGCTGATTTATTCTGGTAAAAGGAGATTGTTTGCAAATGCTGATTTTTTTTCAAGGTATTTTTTTAAAATAACTTTTAAAGAAATGATTTTGGTAAGGCCACTGAGCTCTGAACAAACTCTGCAGTATGATGGAGGTCTATTAGGTAAACATCTCTAAATCTGTGCAGTTACAGATGATGAGGCGTGCGATATATACAGAGCTAAAATTGAAGACAAAAAACCGCAGGTTACTGAGTGATGAATGAGTCTTGTGTTTGTGCTCAGAAGGTCAATTAGCAGACATTGTTTGAGGAGTTCATCAGCTGAACACAGCAGCTGCTCTCTCAAAGCATGAGTCACTTGTTGAAAAAAAAAATAAAAAAAAAATGTTCTCAGCTCTGGAGTACCAGACCACAAAGCTGGCTTGTCTTAATCATACAGTGGATGCTGATACTCCGGATGTGAACAACAGCACTACCAATCTACAATGTGTCACTCACAGAGATAAACTAAAAGTTTGTGTTCTTCCAGGACTTAAGGTCGTTTAAAGGTCTACACCTGGTAAGTTATGGTTGTGATCTGTTAGTGGCATTTAAAGATCAGCGTTTCCTAAAGGGAAGTTTATTAGGAAAAAGATTTAGGACAAGTTTTTGTTCACTTCGCTCAGTTGAAGAAATCAATATTTGATTGATTCACCAGCCTTCACCTGCTTGCCCAGCTGTGTGTCCTGCACCTCGTCTGAAAACTTAAAAAGTGTCACAGAGTTGGAGGAATCTATTTTGACTGTCTTCTGCTTTAGGAGGCTAAAAAGGAAATCTCTAATGTGAATATTCATATAAGGGTGAATGCATCTTACTACTATCATACTAGAAATAAATGATTTTTTGGGGTACAATTAGATACCTTTACTCAGTCACAGAGGACAGTCTGCTCAGTTAGAGTTAAGATACTGACATGTGTATCAGGGAATTAAAAGTGACAGAAGAGGGGTATTTTTGTTAAAATTAGGTGTTTCACAGGAAAACTTGCAGATTTGCATTCTTGGTTTTCATGTCTTTATGAGACAAACCCCTTAAGGATCATACGTCTTTCTGAAAGGCAGGGAGACTTCTCGATGATCTACTCTCCTCTGTTTGTGACGAACAAATGAAACCATGTATTGGATGTCCTACAGTGCAAAACCAGCTGATGTTTATAGGAAGAATCAACTAGTGGTTTAAAACAAAAACCAGCTTGACTAGATCAACTTCCTCCATAAAGTTACTGCAAGGGAAAACAAACTGGAGTGTGAACACAAAATACCTGTGACTTTAATCTAATTAATTGTGTACAGTTATCTGAGAAAAGAGGAAGAGCAGACTATTTTGAAGAAATATTTAACTAACTACAATTATCTATTAAGAGTTAAAAATAATAATAATAATATCATGACAGCACATCCCCTTCTGACCCTCCTCCATCACCTCACTGAGTCACACGAACCAGTCCTGTGGTGTACATAGAAAACACTAAGAGAAATCTCCTGAGTCATGACTAACAGCTACTTAAATACACTTTTATCTAGCTAACACTGGCTATATGCAAACAAACACACAGTAAAATGTCAAAACGATGCAGACCACTCACCGCAGCATTGCTACGTGTACTCAGACGGGGGTCGTATGTACTCACTTGCTCAGCCAATATCTGCCGGTTTTGGATTGCATTGTTCCGCATTAACAAGAAGGCATCGGTCAGTCGCCTAGTGGCCATGACTGCCTTGTTAGAGATCTAAATTAGCGCTGGACTAAATGCGGATCAGGCAACGATTTATCAAATTATGTCCACTGCCACTGACCCGCAGCTAACACACCGCCAGCTTTAGCTTTAGCTTCGCCTGCGATGGTGACTGATGAGGAAAACTCACGACACAGCGCCTACAGTGGACAGCAAACGACCTTACTGATATTTATCTGCCAATCATCTCTTATGCTTATGTTAGAAAAGTGAAACATGACCGAGTGTTTCTTCTCAAATTATTGGATTAAACTGTAGATGAGTGACGCTTTTTTTTTTTTTCGCTTTGGATAGCTACGGAAGTAGGAGAACGTAAACACCAGCGTAGCGCGCTTCTTCTTCTTCCTCTACCCATTTACTGCATCCGTCACCTGCAGCGGAAGCTCTTTATCGCCACCTACTGCCTCGGCATAAAGTCAGACCAATAAAGGATAGGATAATACTTTCTTGATTCGCAGAGGGGAAATTCGGGCGTTGCAGCAGCACAGACAAGTAGCTCAAAATACACATTAAACAGAATAGATAAGATAAATACAAATAAAAATAGGGGGTATATACAAGTACAAAATGAATGATGAAGTTAACTATGCATGGAATTGAGACAGTATTTGCAGAGAATGACAAGATAAAGGGACAAGTGATGATTAAAGTGACTTGGTATGATAAATAGCAGCAAGTAATGTAAAACAGCAGAGAAGAGAGGCAGTGTTGTACCACAGTAGTGCAGAGTGCAGTTATATAATATAATGTAGTATAATATAATATAATATAGTGCACAATATAGTGTAATATAATGAAATGTTATATAATATAGACTAATATAATAAAATATATATAATGTACAGCATATATGTATATATATATTGATGATAAATAATAATAATAATAATAATAATAATAATAATAATAATAATAATAATACAATGTTAGTAATGATAATAATGAAGCAGGTCATGTGGGTAGTGTTTTATGGGGGTGAAGTTTTGTGTCAATGACGGACTGTTATGTGTGTTCTGTATATTTTTACTAATTTCCTTGGATTAAGAGGTGTTCATTATACTTTTGTTTTAGTTTACTGCTCAAGGGTTATTTCTAGTACTCTATGTAAATGCAGCCCAAAGGTGCTTGACACACATTAAAAGGTATCCAAAGCTTTCAACACATAATCTTGGCTTTTGATTATTGAACCTTTAATTATAGAGCAGACAGACAGGCACTCATGCCTGAATCATGGTATGAACTGTTCTTAATGTGTAAACATAGCTGCTATGTTTTCTGTGTTATTGATTGTCTGAATGTTTTACACTGTTTTATGTATCTGGAGAGCATGAGGCCAATTTCCACCACTGGTGGACAATTAAGATTTATTATAGTCTATCCTGTTACCTCCTCTGAATTAAACCTTTGAACTGCCAACCAGCCTACGATTTGCAGTTGGAATTTTATCTCCTGTATATTTACACTCATTACCCAAGCACCTCTTATCTATATTGATTTATACTTTATGGTTCTTCACACTCCCTTAAACTAATACTTTACCCATTTGAATTAAGCTTTGTATCATTAGAAACCTGGTAGTATTTTTGAATGGTCGTGCATCCCGCCCTCATTTTCCCCTGAGACGGGAAATCTTTGTATTTCTGAGTCTGAAAAGGAGCCTCCGATGACGCAAATGACGATTTTTGCATCACTGGAAGCTGTTCCAGTTAGCCGGGTGAAACTACAACGCTAGTTCCTCATATTTTCGACCACTGAAGCTACAGACCAATCACAGATCAGTGGGTGGGAACTCTCTCCCAGAATCGAAACTTAACGTCCGCCATATTGCTTGGAAGCTATTTCTACTGCTATATTGTATATTTTGGAGAAACTGTAACGATCAAATTTACCTCTGTATTTCTGATTCTGATTCTGAATTAGAGGACCGTAGTGGGAGTGGCCTGCGGTGCTGTGCATTCTGGGATTTGGTGTCTTTCATCAACATGAGCCAAAAGCTCAAAGGCCAAGAAGGCACCAACTTCAAAATTTATTTCACATTTCTACTACATATTAGACCCAATGTCAACACAGATTCATGTTTCAACAGGTGAAGTAGCCTATCCCTTTAATTACATGTAATGGCCCCTGCTAGCTTGTTCAAGGTGTGTCAAACTATCCACCCTGTTGTGTACACTTTGCTAATCATACTAATGTCAATTTGCAAAAGTACTTTATTTTGAATTGAGAGCATCAGTGAAGACCGCCAAAAATGTTTTTTAAATAATGCTTTTCAGATCTTATAAACTCTTAAATAATGTAGCCTAAATCAGTCATCCATGTCTTCATTCACATCAAGACTGGGAACCAGGAAGTCTAAAAGTCATTGACGTTTGGGGGTTTAAAGTAGTATTTAGTAGTGCTGATTTGTTGCTATCATAAATCCCACAGGTTCGCGTGCATGTATGTGTGTTTGAGTGTACACGCGCGAGGCAGTGCCACTTAAAGCTCCTCCTCCGCCCCCTCTTAATCCCTTCTATCCTCTAATGCCGCGCGGCAGACATTTACCCACAACCTCCAGCTGCTGTCATACAACATCAAAAAGTTCCGTATTGCAGAGCTCCGTTTTGGGGACAGTTGAATGTTTACTCCCGCTGAGGTGTGAGAAGACAGAAAGGTAAGTAAGGGTTCATATACTTCCACCTGTCTGGACGAATGAACACCTATCAGGCAACTACAGAGATAATGGGAGTGCAGTTCAGTTCAGTTTTACAGCTTAGTCGCCCTTTTAAAAGGTTGTGACATAATTAATGATTTTTGATCAGCTTGAGCTAAACTAAACATTACTGATAATACTGATGGGAAATTACCATATTTAATTTGGGATTGCAGACTGGTAGAGCAAAGGTTTATTTTTTATCTTGTGTATTTCTCCACACAATCTATAGACCCATCTCCCCATGTATTTTATTATTTTTTTTGATGGTGGCAGGTTATTTTCAATTATTTGATCATCAAACTCTGTAGTCTCTTATGTTATTACAAGCAGCTCTAGATTCATACTAGGCATTTCCATTTTAGGAACACACCACAACATTTCCATAAGTCTTTAAATGCAGCACACAAGGTGTAATTTCAACAGTGATTCCTAATTTCCTAGCATTTAACAGGTAAAGTGAAGTCCCAGACAGTCTAAAAACCTTGAAACAGACACTGTGCTTAATCAGTATCTATGGAGAGTAGAGTGTTTGACTTACTACTAGCATGTACAAGCCAAAGAATGAAGGCTAACCAGTTGTGAGTCACTGCCAAAACAGTGGATGACCTGACACTCAATACACAAAGATGTCTCCTTGAAGAATCTCTGGAGGTGAGCATCTCATCGTGTGGTCTGCTCCTTCCTGACCTCTTGGTTATGTTTCCTCTTTTTTTCCACTCAGCTGACCGGCATGGCCTCCTCTGATGACACTGAAGGGTCACTGACTGCTGTGGATTTCATCCAGCTGCAGCAGTACATGGAATGTAAGTTCCAGTTTTCACCCATTCACTTAATATAACAGTAGCTATCAGTGATATTACTGGCAGGTTGACAATGTGTGCAAATCATGAAAAGACCAGCTGATGAGATGTTTTATGAAGCTCATCCTTTCTCTAAGGGGTGCCTTTATATAAAATTAGGACTAAATAGCTTGACGATTTGTTGGAATGTAAATAAAGTTTTTTTATTAAGTACATATTACACTTGTTAGTAGAGCCTGACTGATTAATCGACCAGCCAATATTCGCACATCGAGCGACTATCGGTATCGGCTAATTTTATTGCAGATAAGCGCAGATATAGATTTATATTTATATTCACCAGTCAATAGCATTTCATTTGAGTTTAATTTTATTAAACTATGAGAGCTCTTTCACCAGCAGAGTGTGTTATATGGATTACAACAAGCAGTACTCTGTCAAGCGGTGATGCACTTACATGCACAGTTACTTTCCACTTGATCGACCAGAACATGTCGTACTGTATATATTTTCCACAAGTGTTTGATAACTGCATTTGAGGGATCAACACAATAAATGTGTATATCTAAATCTATTTATCTCTACAGATCAAAGAAAGATATCGGCCGATATATCTGTATCAGATTTTTTTCTTTACCCAATATCATTATCGACCCAAAAACTCCATATCATTTGGGCCCTACATGTTACAATATTCTAATAATTTACTGGAATATAAAACAACCATGGTCAGGTCTAACTTCTTCTTCATTTTTTTTTAGAGGTACTGCACATTTTAAAAGCCATTAACTTGTTCATATTATTGCTCTGTGATTAAAAAAACATCAATACTAGTGTGAATATTGGCATTTCTTACCAGATTTTTATAAATCCACATTTAATGATTGAAAATGGCACAAAAGAGGAACAGTAGACAGCATCTCCTTTTTTTGAAAGTTACCTCTGAATGTAATCAATTTCTTATATCTGACTGACTTTTATGTGTTTCCTGTCACTCTCAAACTTTAAAATCTAACTTTCTGGAGATCATTCAAAATTCTCATAAAAGTGAAAGCAGTCACTAATCATTGTACACTGAGGCTGAGGGAGTATGAAACGAGTGTTTCTCTGGAGGATCATTCAGCGTCAACACGAAAACACAAACTCTCCTGATTGTAAGTGCATTTTTGCACCAGGGGATTTGAGCTGTGCAGTTTTTGATAGACCTGTTGACAGGAAACAAAAAGTACAGGGATCGGGCTAAAAATATTGCTGTGTACACTTAGAGGCTTTGAAAGGAATGAAATGGGTGTGTAAGCTTTTAGTGTTGGTGGGGGGAGAGACTTTGCACTGTTTGATAATGGACAGATGGATAATTACGCCTGCTTCTCTCCGGACCTGATGGACCTGAACATTGCTGTGTGTTTCATCTGAAAGCAGATCTAATACCCTTTACGTCCATTTCAACAATTAGTGTTTGTCTCCTGTTTTTAGCACTCAGAACACATGTAATAAATGATCAAAGAAAATACACAAAGAACTGAATGGGTTACTAAGTTTAGATATTATTCTTTATCCATGTGCCACTCACTGGCCTCTTTTTCTTTGCAGACAGCAGTTTGAGGGTGAAAGATGTGATCAAGGAGTTCCATCCTGGGGGTCGACTGGCACAGCACAGCTTTAAAGAGGTAAGTTTTCTGGACAGGGGACCATGAGGTAACATTTGATTTATGAGGAGAGTAATTTCCTATTTCTTATGGATGTAAAGTTTGATTATATGTCTCTCCTTTCCTGTAATGACATAGTTTCTCTGGGAATCTGATTGTGATGATGTATTATCATTCAAAAAAATTGTCCAGAAATTACAGCTTCAGTGAAA